TAAGAAAATACTGAGCGTAAGAAGACCTATAAGGACTTGTTGGAAAGGAAATTTTCTCTACTTTTACCAGTTTTATTTTGTTTTCCCTATTTCAGCATAGAAATAAACGTAAAGCTGAGCTTTGTTTAAAAATTACGAATAAAATCGAGAAAAAACACATAAGTAAAAGAAAATTATTGTTTTTAAAAAATACTTTAAAGTAATAACAATAATTTTTACATATTTTAAAAGCAGAAAAAATATGCTTTATGAATATATCATACATTTTTTATAAAGTTAATCGGGAAAAAAAATGTCAGTCGTCGGAAAAATCCGCAATTGTTTTGGAAAATCACGCCATTTTCAAAAAGTCATCTTTGTCTTCAAAAGGTAAAATCTATTAAATACCGACATTAAAACAAAAACTTTTTATATAATTTAAAAGAATAGAAAATTTCAGAAAAGATGATATATAGTTTATTTAAGAAATGAATTTAATTTTTGAAGATTCATGAGGTTATGAACTACGACGCTTCACGCCGGCATATTTCATGAAGCGCGTTAACGCTTCATGATAAATACGCCGATGTGAAGCGTTGTAGTTCATTTACCTCATAAATCTTCAAAAATTAATTTCATTTCTGATATTTACATTATTTTTCTGATGACTTGCCATAAATTTACACCGTTCAACTGTCATTTTTAAAACAAAACAGTGTGCACTATATTTATTAACTTTTTGACGTCAAGAGCGGTATTAAGACGTAACAATGAAGATATTCATGCTTATTCGTGATACATACCTAATGTAGTTCATGAGAAAATATACTGCATTTTACTTTGTAAAGAATCATAGGGGAAATTTATTGGAAATGTAAATATATACCTTTATGCTAACATAAAATAGATACGGATATTTTATTTTCGCGAAGTCGTGTTTTAACGCGCCACTGGTCAATTTGACCGGTATGGAAGTGAAGGGTATAATAAAATACTATATTAATTTCACTAATTACTTAGTATTTTCGCCGTACATAAAGTCGTATTTTTTATTTCACTTTCCTTTATTTATTTTCAAAATTTGTTCTGTAAATGATAATCATTTACGTCAAAATATATCAGAATGTTTGGATTTTTTTATTTGACCATAATTATAACTAAATACCATGCATGTATGAGAGTTTTAATCATATAAAAAATAGAATTCTTTTCATAAGTGGTAAGTCCACAATAAATCCTGTATGAGAAAATTCGTTTATGCAGAACAATATGTTGTTTGTTTTCAAGTTTTCTCATTTTATGAGCCTGGGGTAAACAAATATTTTTTCTCCAGAACAGAAAAAATTCTATTAATGATAGTGAAGCATTCGCTTACTGTATGATATATGCTTGGTTAAGTCAGGACCCCTTTAAGTTGTGTACAAGAATAAATAAGAAAAATATTCTGTGGAAGAACAGCAGGGGCACGATTATTCAGATGAGCGATGTGACCTATTGGTCTTTCTTTTTAATCCAAATGCAAGACTGTATTACATTTTTATGGCCCACAATAGCCATGGGGGCCCTGTCTTGAAGAAAATTTTAAAACATACATAGGCTGACAGATTTATTTCATTTAATTTAGGCCAGCAGTTCCTGTAAGGATTTTCTTTTTAAAAGGTTTTCTTATCTTGTTCATTATAACAACCCAATCCTAGCCATAGGAAGTTTTAACTCAAAAAAAAGTATAATCCTAAATAAAATCAAAATGTTTGCACATTGATTTGACTAAATCATTCTCTTCTCTTTTTTATTTATCATTTTCTATTCTTGAAAATTATAAAGGTCTTCCGTCTTCAGCGGAAGACCTTACTGTTATTCTTAAGTTTCTTTTCCACTATTTTTATTATTGTTTTTTTTCCCTACCGATATTGTGCATGCGATTTCTCGGAAACGGGTCGCTAGATTTTCATGAAACTTTCAGGTCAGATAGAGAATTTCAAAAACTAGATTTTTATTTTAATAACGTCACTTCCGGTCGGGAAATTTTCAAGATTTCATGATTTTAGAGGGTAATTTTGTCCGGGCGTGTGTAAGAAAAGAATTTATCACAGGAACATGAAACTTTCAGCGATGATAGAACAACATATGTATATTTGCCTAAGGTATTTAACTTCCACCGGAAGTACTGCACGTTAACGCTCGGTATGGTCTGGAAAAGTCATATTGATCTTTCAAATGATATCTCGAAAAAAGGGCTGGCCCCTAAAATAAGGGATCTAGAGGGGCCGAAAGTTTTTTCTCGACATCTCAAAAAGTAATAAAAACTTGCTATACATCAAAGAAGAAAAGTTATTTAAAATGTCAAGCTTAATCTATTGAGATCGTCAATATAAGCTTGGCGACGTCACTTCCGGTCAAACTGGAAGTCGTCAGAAAATGCATGTTTTTGCCGTTCTTGACATGTGTTTGGCTAACAAATGTCACTGGAAGCATAAAACTTAATTTTCCGTCCGTCGGCTTCACTTCTGGTCAAACTGGAAGTAGCCAAAAAAGCTTATTTTTGAAGGCTTTGACGCAAAATTGAAATTAAAAGGCACTGGAGACGACTTAGCTCATTGCTTTCTTTCATTGACGTCACTTCCGGTCAAAACAGTACGTACGGAAGACCTTCTCGTTGCTTTGCAACGAGCTTTGCTCTAGTTATATTCATAATCCTGTGTAATAACACCTTACTGTGGACTCCTTGCTCGGATTTCGATGGGCCACATTGCTCATCTGAGTAACCAATCTCGTACGTTTATGTACAGTCAAATGAATATAAGGTGATAAAGCAACTACTGATAATAAATGCGTTTGTTTGTTGTTTAAGTCCTTCTCGAGAAGATTTAACTCATATGGAGAGGCCTTGCCGGTGGAGAGCTGTAACGTTTGTCCTATACACGGTACTTAGGGCAATTATGCAATGAGGGATCTTTTTCGTGCAAGCAACTACTGCGACACGGGATCTCGGTTTATACGGTCTCATCCGAAGGACCGGTCTCCATGGATTTGAACCCGCGATGTAAATGTTTAGCTGCTTTACCTGAGCCTGCTATTCTCAAAACAATATATATATATATATATATATATATATATATATATATATATATATATATATATATATATATATATATATATATATATATATATATATATATATTTTTTTTTTTTTAAACAGTTTTAAATATCTTAATTATTTTATTAATATCTTTATTATATTTATTGATTAAAAGATCAATTTTAAAGATTTTTACCTTAAATATTCAAAATTCGAATTTTAAAAACGATTTTTGGATTTTAAATATCTGAATTTTTAATCTGTTGTTAGTTTAGAAAATTTACACTTTACAATCTATAGTTCGGTAACATTTTTACGTCTTTTCATTATTCAAAATTAACTTTAAACTTCTAAATTTCAATTTTGAAACGATTTAGATTTTTAGAAATTCGGAATTTTGATTCAAATGTTCTAATTGCAAATATTCAACACACTTTGAGTGTTTATGCAATAAATATTATCATCATTAATATTCTAACTATCTAAAAGGTCTTTCGCTTAACAAAGATTTATTGGAAAACTTTCAAAATTTAAACCAGGTTTGGAAATTTATACTTTGGATATTTAAAGTAAATTTTTAAAAAGTCAAAATAAAAAATTGTTTCGGTTATTTAAGAGTTGAGAGTTGAATCAAAATTCTAAATTTCTAAAAATCTAAAACATTTGAAAGTTGGAAGTTTAAAGTAAATTTTAAATAAACAACAGACGAAAAATTTTATTGAATTTTAGATAGTTAAGCGTAAACGTTCTGAAGAAACTGTAGATTAAACACTCAGAAGTTTAAAATAAAAAGGTCGTTTTTTGGAAATTTGAATTTTTAATATTTAAGGTAAAAATCTTTTATTAAAAATTTGAAATCCTAATCCTGTTTGGGAATTTGATAATTTAGATTTTTGAACAAAAAAATTGAATTTAAATTTATCAAATCATTTTGAGTTTTTGAAATTTAAACTCAGTCATTTTAGAAATTTAAATTGTTTTAAAATTGTCACACTATTTTCATATTTCAAATTATTAAGTTCAATGGACAATTTTCAAGATAAAGAAATTTTATTCATTCTTTTCTGAATCAAATAAATAAAATTTCCTGTCTGTTGCTGAACCTTATAAATTAACACTTTTTAAAACCAATGCAATTTGACACTTCTTTTTTATTACATCATATATATCATTTACATATCGCGAAAAAAAATATTGGAGTAAATAATATACAATTATTGCTGGTTTTTGAGGTCAATACAATGATTTAGCCATCTGAGGAGTACAATATTCACCGAGCCCGAAGGGCGAGGTGAATGTTGTACTTGGAAGATGGCTAAATCATTGTATTGACCGAAAAAACAGCAATAATTGTTTTATTATATGATTCACTGATAAACTGATACAGCTCGTTACTTGTTTGCATTTTATTACGTCCTAGCCAAATACAAGAGAGTAGCAGAATTAAAATGTTAATAAACCTTACCAGTCGTATCAATTTAATTTTTTTTTTAATCAATTTTAGTAGCCATGAAAGAAAAATATATCGTCAGTCTTTTTATAGGAAAGATTTTTAAAGGAAGGAGTATTATCAGGGAAAACTAACAACCAAAAAGTAAAAAAAAATGTTGTTCAGTAAAAGTGTGTGTGTGTGGGGGGGGGGGGGGAGTCCCTGCATCCCTCACCTAAAATATATATTCGCTTATGTTTTGTTCACATGAAAATAAAAATCATAGTCGTTTAAATAGCTTTCTAAAACAATTTGTATCAATTTGGAATTCCCAATCTATTTTTAGATCAATGTAGAGGAAATAAATACTTGTATTGACCTGGAACGTCACGTGCAGGTCAATACAACGTAATATTTTTCTAACATAGTTGGATCTCAGCCAATCAGAGAGATGGAAATTATTCAATCATATAATAATAGGCCTTTGTTAACGTTACTGTTACACGCCTGGTCCGGATATCCTTTTTGAATCTATGGTTATCTCAATTCAGGAAGTAAATTACTGCCTTTTCGCCCATCATTAAAACTGTAAGTAAAATAATATACTCTGTACGTATATATTTTACAAATATTACTGAACATTTTTATGAATTATGAAGAAATGAATTTATGACATTTTTTGATAATATGTGTTGATTGACATCTGCATGCGCATGTTCTCATCACGACTTATTTGTCTACTCTTCTTTAAACTTGACCACCCCGGTTTTTACTCTAAAATACACTTTTATAGTATAGAACTCGAGGTGACCAAATTTAAAGAGGACAAATAAGTCGTGACGAGTCTTTGTGGTGCATATGCAAAGTAAATATTAGTTAAACTTATATCTTTATCTTACTGATGTCACATATAATACATTCAATTTCTTTTTAATACACTTTTTCATTGATTGTAGATGGCTTTATCTAAAATGGATATTCCCCGCACAGCCCAACATTTTTTAGAATGCGGCATTGAAGAATGTGAAAGAAACTGTGAGTTCTATTGCAACCCTTGTCATAAAAGATTGTGTAAACAATGCTGCGAGGAACATCTGAAAAGTCCAGAAAACAAGAACCATGAGGTGGTCCTTTACCAGCAACGTAAACGACAACTTCCTGTGGAGAAATGCAAGATCCACCCCACAAAAGATGTGGACATGTTGTGTGAAGAATGCAAAATTCCAGTATGTTCCAAATGTGTCACACAAAGAGAACATCGGGGTCATATATTTACTGATCTTGAGACAATTTATGCAGAAAAATTTGCAGACTTTCAAAAGGAAATTCCCAAGATACAAGACTACTTTCTCCCTACATCACAAAATTTTAAGAAAGACATTAAAAAAGATTCCTCAGAAGTCAAACACATCATGGACAACATTAGAACATGCATGAAGACTGAAGGTGAGACTCTGAAAAGTCTGGTGGACACAGTCATATCTGAGAACATGAAGCAGTTAGACCAGATAGAGCAAACACTGTTAGAAGATCTAAACACCCAAGACAAGACAATAGATAACTACATCACATATCTTAATAACCTTGTCAAAGAGCTCCAGAGATGTCTGTCCCCTACAGAAACCCAGAGATTAATGTCTGAGAAGAAACCAAAGATCCGATCCATACCAGAGACAACAAAACCAGTCACACCAGGATTTACTGCTGGTCAATTCAGCAAAAGTGATGTCACCAAATTACTTGGTAAAATACATGTCCCCGACACTATAGCAGAAAAGAGAGAAATAAGGCCCATTGAAAGTGTCTACAATACAGCAATGAAACCTACACATAAACAGATGAAAGAAGACAGAAAGAAATCAGACAAGAAACAAACAATGTCTCCATCTGCGTCTGTCACCATGGTCAGGGAGTTAAAGGTACCAGGTGTTAATAATGTATACCATGTATCACTAGATCAATCAGACAGACTCTGGATCAGTGATGATATGGGTAATCTTATCCAAACAGATCTACAGGGGAATGTGATACAGAAGATAAAAACCAGTGATGGACGTGGCTACCACACAGTCACACAGGACAGGGATCTGATCTTTACAGACCAAGACAAGAAAGTCATCAATAGGATAACACAGGATAATAATATCACTGAATTCATTAAAACTGGAGACTGGAGTCCACTCAGCATACACTCCTCCCACATCAACGGGGACTTACTGGTGGGGATGTTGAAATTAACAGAGACTAAGGGAATTTTTAAAATGAGGAAAAATAAAGAGGAAAGTAAAGTCACCAGGTACAACAAGACAGGAAAAGAACTACAGAACATACAGAGGGATAACAAAGGACAGGAACTGTATAGTACATTACCACACTACATCACAGAAAACATAAATGGAGATATCTGTACATCTGACTACTATAAAGGAGTAGTGGTGGTGAATAAATCAGGACAACACAGGTTCTCCTACACAGGTCAGGGGTCAGGGTTCCTTTCCTATGGAATCTGTACTGATGTCCTTGGTCACATCCTGGTGTGTGATGGATTCTTTATAAGTAAAACTGTTCACCTCCTTGATCAGGACGGTCAGTTCTTGTCATTATTGCTAACACCACAACAAGGGGTACCCTTTCCGCGCAGTGTGTGTGTGGATGACGAGAACAATCTCTATGTAGGACAATATAACACACTGACAGTGTTCAAGTATCTCCACTGATGAATGTGATTCTTATTCTGTCTTAAACATATTGTATATTGTATCAAACTTACACAAATCTAAAGCCATCAAGTAATTGTGTTTTATGTTATCTTTTTATTACATCTACTTTATATCAGTTCCTGACTTTAATTGTTACATGAAAATTTTTCATGTACGATCAAAGAGCAAGAGCCATCTTATGCATAAAACGGTCCTGCACTTATATCATTTATTTAACTATCACCCTATTTCCCATTTCATATTTCAAAATAAAGCAGACACTTGGTGCTTTCATTTTCTATAATAAAATTTTGTTTTGAGAATCCAGATATTGGAAAACAGGTTTGAGAAATTGTTATGTTCTTGAAATTTGCAGAAAACATGCGTATTCGACTACCTTCAGCATAGAATTAAAATATGAGCACAGCCCACGATCCAAAAAATAAAACATGTTTTCTGATCTTCAAAGACAGGGCTTTCATTATGTATTTGCATATTTTGGATCAGAGGTTGTGCTCTATATGAAATATTGAAAAAATACTTCAGTTTTTGGTAATTTTCAAAGGAATTTACAGGATATGAGGAAAATGACGCATTGACTTCATGGGAAATTACGACACGATTAATGGATACGATACGTGGTCACCAACTTTCCAAATGATAAATACTGCATTTGCAACCTTAACTGAGCGGTTTTGATTTTTTTTTTTTAGAAATTCTCAGGGCCAAATAAGGCCCAAAGTGGCTCTTGCTCTTTGTTTACATCCTGTATGTACATAAATGCAAAATAATAATAAACTTTATCATGTCCAATCCTATATCAATATGTACATGTATATAAATGCAAATTATAAGAAACTTTATCATGTACACAATCAAATTTATTAACATCCTTATGTATATACAGTGAAAACTGTCTAATCGGACACCTGAATAATCCGACACACTGTGAATTCTGACGTTAAATTTCTTTCCCATTTTAGTATTTTCCTTGTTTATAACACTGTGCAATCCGACACACTGTCTATTCTGACACAAAATTTGTCTCCCAGTGCATGTCGGATTAGACAGGTTTCACTATATTTTGTAATCATGATGTAGCACTAACTGAAATTAATTAAGTATATTATATTATATTAATTAAGACTAACATTGAAATGCAAAATGATAAGAAAGTATTAAAGGACTTTTCTAAAAATAAAATTTAATAAATAAGTTTAATTGTCATGTTTAATAGAAAAATTGATAAAGGATAATTTCACTATAAAATAAACATGTATTCTCCAAAACGAAATAAAAGCACTCCAATATTCAATATCTGAACAACTAATGTTCTATCAATTAAAACATTTTAAGTAATATTTAAGGGCCAAGTATATCAAATATTTCAAGAATTTGAATTTAAAGTCCTTTAGAAAGCTCAACACGATAACAATTTGAACATTACAGCTGTACATAGTATGAATTCATTCTATACATGGATTTTTTTCAATCAAATAAAAAAATGTACATGTAATAAAAAAAGATTTTTTTTAAAGGCATATGCAGGGAAAAATGTTTTTTTTTAGAATATGTCAAACAAAGCAATCAATTTTTTGAGTCCCCAGAAGTCCAAAGAAAGAGATGTTAAAAATCTACCGAACTTAATTTATAATTTATAAATATAAAAACGATTTTGGAATTGCATACAGAGATATTGATAAGCAATGGTCACGAATGCGTGAGTATTGAGATAGACAAAAAGTACAATAATATATGTATGTTAGCTATATGTATTTACTAGATCGGGAAGGGCACTTTAGAAGGCTCATAAAACGCTTACGGTGGGTGCAGCCGCCCCCTTTTTAGATAAAGTCCGATTTTATATAGGTACATTTAGAATAGCTGTACTGGCACGCTAGAAGGTTGCTCAAAGTGCATGTAGTTCGTTGAAAAAAAAACTTTAACATTATATAAACTAGAAAACTGACCAGTCAGCAAGGGCCCCGCCATGGGGTAGAATTAAAAGGGTGCCGCTTACAGATTGATTAATAAGCAACAGCAACTCATGAACTGTATTCTTAAAACTTAGAGATAATTCCTGAATATTTAAAAACCTGAAAATAATATCCTTGTACATGTATTTACATTAGGCAGTAAAGAACAACTTAACATTGAATGTATATTTAAACAATTATGAAGCTTTGTGTCATATAAATGCCAGCCTTTAATGAATGCAAATATCATGAAGGCTTGACCTCTACTTCAAACAAACAGCAGTTGCAGACAAAGGTTTTCATTAATCTTGAAGTGACAGATAAAGAAAAGCCTACTAAATTTTCTGCAGCAGGCTAGATAATTAATCCCAAGGGATTAATTGTACCTCTCTCATCATTTTCTTCTAAATTTACAATAAGAATTTTTTCAGTGTTAATGATAGAATGAAGTTTTTATACAACTACATGTACATTAAAAATTAATTATACATGTATTCTTGAATTAATATTTTTGAAAAGGTGAAAAAAGTAAATTTAAAAAATCTTCTTTAATCTATTTCTTTTTTTTTTTTAGAATTCAATGAAATCATAACTATCAACAAAAATAAATTATAAAAATTTATATTTAAATCCACATTTCAAAGTGTTCATAGCATTCCAAATTGATTTAACTTCAAAGCAAACTTCATTTGCAGACAGAGTTGGTAATTAATCTCAATGTGACAGATAAAGATAACGCTCTGGATTTTCTTCAGGAGGAAAGCTAATTAATCTCAAGGGACTTCTAGCAGCATAACAAATTAACAATGGGAACATCTTCAGAAGTTATCTCTCTTTGCCAATGCATTCTTATATTAAGTTAAGGAATCTACCCCACCACCCCAGCTCCAAACCATGGGACATAGAGAACCAAACTTAACATCAAAATATGTATTTCTGTCTACTGAAGTACTGTACCAAATTTGTACTTGATTGGGCAACCATAAAAAAAGTTATTCATTCATTCTTATGCATAATTAAGGAATCTACCCCACCACCCCACCTCTAAACCAGAAGACATAGAGAACCAAACTTAGCATCAAAATATGTATTTCTGCCTACTGAACTACCATTACAAATTTGAACTTGATTGGGCAACCATGAAAAAAGTTATTAGCAAAAAACAGAAAATTTGTGGACGGAAGAGTGACAGACGGACAGACAGACGGACAGACGGACGGACAGACAGAGTGATTACTATAGGGCACCCGCAAATCCTTGCGGGGCCCTAACAAATAATAATTGAATTCATCTTCAAATTGCAAATCTGATGATTTGAGAGGGCCGTTGACCTTTATTCAGTTTCAACACAGGGCTTTCACGAAGCATCCTGTTATAGAATGTACGAGAGGGATATGTAGAGGTGGTAAATAATTGAAAAGTACTAGTAACTAGAAAGTTCTTTGAAAAGCAAAAATAAGATGAATTGTCCGATCAGGAAAATTCTCCTTGGGGTGGGGTGTCAGGTTTTGACAAGAAAAAAAATAAAAAAATCAACGTAATTTGCGAATTATATTCCTCCTACCGTTTTGGTCCGATTTCAATATAACAAGTAGACTATACTAAGACACAATTCTGTGCATCGGTTTTTATTTTGAAGAGCAGCAAGGATCATTTTTCTATTTATTGCTGTTAAAGTTTCAAGTCCAAACTGCTTTTTTTCTCTTCCCTTTTTTAAGTATAATCCAGTAGACCTACAGTCTCGACAGAGATTTCTGGTTTTTAAGTTATTAAAGCAAATGCAACCAACATTTTTCAATTTTATATTTTAAAAATACAATATTTTTTTGATAAGTATGTACAGTGTAGTACTAAATACTGTATATTATTCTCATCCTGTTAGGTATATAAGTAATCCCTAGTAAATATCTTCATCAAGTCACACACAAATAACAAAACAGGATGTAGATGTGGCACATTTTAATTTGGACAAACTGTGAAATATATAATGACAATGATAAATAAATGGTCAACTAAATAGAAACAAATAATAATAGTACAATCAATAGATACATGGACGGACATTGTCTTTGTCAACACTATACACCAGACAACTTCTGATGTAAGGGTGGGGGATACAACCTAAGGAACAAAACTGAAATTCATTTCAATGTTCAAAACTAAACTCATTTAATGATAAAATAATTAAAAACTATTATGTTGAAACTTTCTTTCTGTTTCTAACTGGTTTCAAGATACATTCAATGAAAATATAGACAATAGATTTACATGATACTTAAATTTGGCCCAAAGAAGTGTTTTGAAGTTTCATTGAAACAAAAAATGATATGAATTTTGAAGATCATTGAAAAGAAAAGTAGTATTATAATTTGAATATTTTGTTTCTACACATGTGCTTCAAAATTAAATAATATAACAAAGTCAGGTCTAACAATGTACAAAGACACAGCACAACTTCCTGGCAAATTCTACGAAACTTTAAAGATTTAAGTCAGTACAAAATATTGTCATCATAAAGACAATATTGATAAGTTATGTAAATGTTGAATTCCCCTTTTCTTTTACACCTGGCAGCCATTAAAGCCAAAAAAAACTAAAAAAAACAGCAATAAATGTGTAAATAACAAATCACTGGGTAAGGGGGATAACTCTTGGCAATTCTTCAGAATTGCACTCGATTTTTAGTTTACTAAATCATAATTTAATACACCTTACACAAGGAATACTTCTATGTGTTTAATATGCTTTTATACGACTAATAATTTTCCTTCAATATTTCATATTTACAGACTGTATTTATTTAAAGCTTAAAATGCCATTTAGAGTTAAATTAAAATTTTAAAGTTTTATCAGTTAATATATTTTTAAAAATTCTTCATATCAACATATTTACTTGTTGTTCACTCAATATGTATTTTTAAAAAGTATAAGCACTTTATCCCCAATATTAATAAATAAATTACTTCACACTAATACTGTACATATCACAACTAGATAAGAATAGTAATAATATAGGTAATAATTAAAAATATGGATTTTTTTTTTATCCATGTAACTTCTCTTAATATTTTTTTCTGATGAAAAAATACAAATTTTGTCTGACATGTTTGAAATCAGAAAATCTTAATTTGATCAAATTTGGAAAAAAAAAATTTGTTTGTGCAAGTATAACAGTGAAATCACCT